CTTGGACTCATGCATCCTACATCAGAGCACCTGGGTTTGATGCTAGCCTCTGGCTCCTGAATCAAGCCTCCTGTTGAAGCAGACACTAGGGGGCAATAAGGGGTGGCTACCACTAATATGGAAGACCCAGGTTGAATTCCTGATTCCCAGCTTTGGTCTAGTTAAGCCCCAGACTTAGTGAGCATTTGAGGGAATGAACCTGTGGGTGGGAGCTCTCTCTCCTTTCTATCTCATTCTATTTCTCAAATGAATAAAAAATAAATAAAAGTAAATTTTTGTTGAGCTGAATCAAGGTGCCTGCAGGGTCAAGTTTCCTTTGGAGATTCTCAAGGACAATTTGTCCCTTGCTTCTTTCAGCTCCTGCTGGCTGCCAGCATTCCTTGACTTGTGATTGTATCACTTCACTCTGCTTCGATGGTCACACTGCCTTCTCTTCTGTGTGTAATCTGTGTGTGTCTCTTAAATGACACTTGAGATTGCATTTAGAGCCTGACCAGATACTCCAACACAATGAACCCATCTCAAACTCCTCAGTGAAACCACACCTACAAAGACCTTTTAACTATACCACGTACAATTAACAGGTTTCAGATTAAATTAACCAAATTAAATGAAGAAATGAAAGAATTGTTAGGGTTTGCTCTTCTCAATTCAATATATAGACTTGAAAATTAGGATGAAATAGAAAATAGTCCAGAAACATGAGAGTATAATGTATCATAAGTATTTCCAGCAAATAATTTAAAGATATCTACAAAATACAAAGAGAACAACATGAAAGAACCTTCCTCCTCCTCTCCCCCATGCCAAAAAATAAATAAAAATTATGAAGTGTGCAGAGTAAACAGTTCCCATGGAAATTCTACCAGAAATTTTTTAGAAGATTTATTTATTTATTTGACAGGCAGAGTTGGGGAGGGGGGTATTCCATCAACTGTTTCATGCCCAAAATGGCCACAACAACCAGGGCTAGGCCAGACCCAAGCCAGGAACCAGGAACTCTATCCCAGTCTCCCACATGGGTAACAGAGGCTCAAGGACTTGGGCGGTGCTTCACTGCTTTCCCATGCACATTAACAGGGGGCTGGATCAGAGTGCAGGAGCCCGCCCCCGATCTGGTGTTCATATGGAATGCCGGTGTCACAGGTGGCAACTTGGCAAGCTGGGCAAAAATGCTGGCCCATAACAACACTTTTTAAAGGCAGAAAATTTCAATCATATTTAGACATAACAGAAGGAAAAATCCCTTATTTTGGATAATACAAAAGATAAAATATCTGAAAGTATATGTGAAATCACAATGGATTAAAATGCTACAGAGGAAGACAAAAGAAGATACGAACAAAAGTAAAAAGCACTCCATGTCCTTAAATAAGATGACTCAACATCATAAAGATGTCAGTTCCCCCTAAATTAACTTATAAATACAAGTCTAATAAAGATGTCAGCATCACTTTGTCAGAATAATCAAGCTGAGTCAAAAGTTCATGAGGAAAAACAAACAAGTAAAAATAGCCAAACGTCTAGAAGACAAGATAATAGGTAAGAATCAGTCTTCAAGTCTTACAGAGATTCACCTAATGAAAATGGTGTGAGCAGACAGATCAGGGAACAGCATGTGAAGTCCAGGGATGGACATATATATGGTCACTTGGAAGATGTGGCATTTTAAGTAGATTGGACAAATAGAGATTAGTCAGTAAATGTATTGAAACTCTTGGATAGTTACAGGGTGGAAAGGGGGACTGACAGCATTCCTGAGATCTTGTAACAGAATAAACTCCAAATGTATTAAAGTTTTAACTATTAAAAAATTGGGTCAAATATGAGGAGAAACTACTGAAGGTGAAAGGCTTTTCTAATTATAACATGAAGCCCAGAAGCCACATAGACAAAGATTGGTGAATTCAATTAACTACATGTTTTCAAAAACGTGCGTGGGGAAAAGTAAAGCAAGAAAAGTCAGAAGACAAATATAAAATTGAGAGACCAATGTGTGAACTTATATCACAAAATGTAAACCCCACTAATGTATAGCATTCCTAGAAGTCAGTGAAAAATAAGACAATGTAATGGAAAAATGGGCAAAAGATATTGCCAGTTCCCAGAAAAAAAGGAAAATAACCAATATTAAATCTATTAAATGGGCAAGGATTAAAGTTAATAATTGCTGTTCTAGGAGAACAGAGTGGGACTTGTTACTGAGAGTCTTGAAGCCCTCAAAACCAACTTCGGGCATCGTGAATCAACTTCTCCCAAACTGCTGCTGATGTTGATATTTTGACCTCCTTACATGAATCATGAATGCTCTTGTGGTCATCTAGAATAGTGAATCCTTTTTTTATTTTTTTAAATATTTATTTATTTATTTATTAGGCAGTGAGTTACAGAGAGAGAGAGAGAGAGAGAAAGAGAGAGAGATGTGTCTTCCATCCACTGGTTCACTACCTAGATGGCCGCAATGGCCAGAACTGGGCCAATCCGAAGCCAGGAGTTGCCATTGGATCTCCCACATGGGTACAAGGGTCCAAGGACTTGGGCCATCTTCTACTGCTTTCCCAGGCAATAGCAGAGAGCTGGATCAGAAGCAGAGCAGCCGGGACTCGAACCAGAGCCCATATGGGAATGCTAGCAGTGCAAGGGGTGGTCTAACCCACTACGCCACAGCGCTGGACTCAATAGTGAGTCCTTTAGTAAGGTCTGCAATTTGCCCAGATCCATCAGAGAAATCACTACTGATGACAGCTATTAAGATGTAAAATACATTTCTTAATAGTCACATGAAAGCCAAAATTACTCCTCCTTCCACAGGCTGTGGAATGGATGCTGTGTTAGCCAACAACACTAATCTCATAGTACATTACCAGCTGAGCTCTTGGCTGACCAGGTGCATTGTCAATGAGCAGTAATGGTTCGAGAAGGAATCTTTTTTACTGAGCAGTAGGTCTCAATAGTGGGCTTAAAATAGTCAGTAAATCATGTTGTTAACATGCGTTGTCATTTAGGCTTTGTAATTCCACCTATATAGCACAGGCAGGGTAGGATTAGTAGAATTCCGAAGAGCGCTTGTAAATGAGCATGACTTCTTTAAAAACACTTGTTGTATTAACACCTAACAAGAAAAGCATGCTAGCCCTTGAAGCTTGGAAGCTAGAAACTGAGTCCTCTCTAGCAACGAAAATCCAAGATGGAATTTTACAGTATAAAGATGAAGCTTGTTGTTTTGCATAGCTCCCATCATCAAAGATCTTAGCTAGGTCTTCCGTATAACTCAGTGCAACTTCTGTATTACTACTTGCTACTTCACTCTGCAACGTTATGCTGTGGAGATTATTTTCTTGAATCACATGAGCCAACTTCTGCTAGCTTTAAACTTACCTTGTGCAGCTTCCTCAGCTATCTCAGCCCTTGTAAAACGAGAGTTAGGGACTTACTCTGAATTAGACCGGTTTAAAGGGAGGTTGCAACTGGATTGATTCATCCAGACCATTAAAATTTTCTCCATATATGAAATAAGGCACTTTGTCATCCCTGTGTTCACTGAACTAGTTTTTTTTTTTTTTTTTTAATTTCTTCCTGGGGCTGTCATCATGGCACAGCAGGTACAGCCAAGGCCTGCAGTGCCAGCATCCCATATATGTGCTGCTTCATGTCCTGGCTGCTCCACTTCTGACCCAACTCTCTGCTATGGCCTGGAAAAGCAGCAGAAACTGGCCTGAGTACTTGGTCCCCTACCACCGACCTAGGAAACCTGGAAGAAGCTCCTGGATCCTGGCTTCTGCCTAGCTGTTAGACCTTCTGGGGAGTGAACCAGAAGACAAAAGATCTCTTTTGTGTCTCTCCCTTTCTGTAGCTCTGATTTTTTAATAAATAAATCTTTTTTCTTAAAAAAAGATCACCTGTCACAGATCATAATGTCTATAAGCAAAAGTTGAGGGCCCAGCGCTGTGGCATAATAGACTGAGCTTCTGCCATGCCAGTGTCCCTTTTGGGAGCCAGTTCCTGCCCTGGTGACTCCTTTTCCCATCCAGTTCTCTGCTTATGGCCCAGGAAAGCAGTGGAAGATGGCTCAAGTCCTTGGTTCCTGCACCCATGTGAGAGACCTGGAAGAAACTCTGGCTCCTGGCTTCGGATCAGCCCAGCTCCAGTAGTTGCAGCCATTGGGGGAGTGAACCAGCAGATGGAAGACTTCTCTCTAACTTTACCTCTCAAATAAATAAAATTTTGAAAAACAAAGTTGAAATACTTTAACAATTACCACCATGTGATAGAGATGTGAAGTGGGCACATTCTTTTGGATAAAGAGCACTCACATACTTACTTGGCATTGGATTGCCTCAAACACACAATTTGTAATTAAAAAAGCAAACACCTTCTTAAAGAAGTAAAGTGAAGTACAGTAAGACAAGGTTTGCCTGCATCGAGAATATGACAAGGCTGAGATCATGCCTTTAAGAAACAAGCTAAAGGGGAATCACATGTATCTAACAAGGTCGTTGAACCCAGTTTAGAACACCTGGACCACATTTGGGCTGTTCCTTCACAATATACAGGTGGCATTTAGGATATTTTAATAAATATCCACAAACATTGATTTCTAATTTGATACTGTTGCTTACCTAGTTTTGTCACACACTGGACTAAGTTGGCAAGGTTAAAGAGCATAATGCATACAACTGCTTAGCCAACTATAAAACTTATAGTTAAGCCGATACAAAACTTCACTCTGGTACACATGCCCCCAGACAGGTGAAGTTGCACGCCCAAGGACTCAGAATTTGTAGAGACTTGAACGCTGAGGCATTAGAGAGTAGCCTGTACCTAGCAACTTCTTAAAACAACGGAGGCTAAGGGCGGCATTGGCGTCTACCCGCTGTCAACACTACCGCCTCAGAAATCCCCAAGAGCTGTTTCGCCTCCACCCCTTCCCTTTTCTAGACAAGCCGGAACTACAATTCCCAGCATCCCTCAGGATCCTGCCGGCGCCTTGCTTTCTGGTCGCTTTTACGTCAGTCTGAATTGGCGGCGCCCAAGGCTGAATGCGAGTTCCAGAACATGGGTTCTACTTTATCCGAGCCCCTTGAGCCGCTCAAGATCGCTGCGCCCCCCGAGGCCGCCTCACCCGCCACGCCTGCGCCCCCAGCTGCACCCGGAGAGCCCGATTCTCCAGCACGAGCGCCCTTACTTAATAACTGTTGGAGCTGTCGCTTGCTTTCCGGGTCGGGGCTGATAGGGGCGGGCCTGTACGTGTACTGGGTGGCACGGAGGCCCATGAAGCTGGGGTACGCCCCAGGTCCAGGGACTATTACGCAGATGGTCATCGGCATCAGTGAGAGAAGGGGCGCGGCCACTTGGGCAGGGGGTGGAGGGACGAGGAGGGATACAGGCACCAGCCACGTGGGAGAGCGTGCGGGACTAGGCTGGTCTGGTCGCGGGTGGGGACATAACTTGTGGGGAAACCTTTGTGTGTTTGTTTTTGGAGATTATAGTTCTAGAGAACTCATTGGGAGTATTTTTTTGTTTTTTTAATCCTTGCAGTGGCTGTTAGAGGTAGGTATGGTAACAGAATTGCCATTTTACTGCTCATCAAATTGAATCAAAATACTACGTTCAGGGTCAGACAGGAAATGACAGCTGGCTTTTTTGCACGTGTTTATCTAGTCCCAAAGCATATTTTTCTCCAAATTCTGGAGAAAGCCTGAGCGAGTAAGTTGACTTTGGTTAAAGAAATTGGGCTCGGACTCCAGAGCTTAGTAGCGTTGGTCCACATTCCTTATAAGGAACAACACCAAGTGATTGTCAAGATCTTTTCCCGTTAAATGTTAATGATTCTTTTCACTTTTCCAACCAGTTTTCTGGAAAAACCGAATTGTAGATTTTCAGATTTCTTACCTTCTTATTCAGGTTGTATAGATCAGTAAGTCCATTCTTGTTTAGGGAGGTGACTGGATGTTTTTGTTTACATTTTCTCTTTTTCCCTTTTTTGAGCTCCATTCTCCTGTAAGAGAGATACAGTGGTCATATATCCTGCAGAGAGTTGTGAGGGTTAGATAAGATCACATTTACTAAATACGTGCTAAATTACAATGCAGCATATAAGTACAGTACTCATGGTTTTTGTTTTGTTTTTTCCCTCCTAGGCATTGCTTCTTGGGGTATAGTGGTCCTGACAGACCCCAAAGGGAAGGCCTATCGCGTTGCTTGAAAGTACCACCAGTGAATTTATCATCTGCCCCTGCCCGGGTGATACAGAGCAAGCATGGGGTTTATGGACGTCTGTACAGACACATGAACATGGATGGACTTCAGTACTACGGACACTAAAGACTGAAACAACACAACATGAGTTGCCATTCTTTGGCTGTTTGTGGCTTCTCGTGTTTCATAGTCACCAATAAATCCCTCAGATAAGAAAGTAGGGTCTGTGTCTTAACTGGGGAAGGATATAACTTAAATTTTATTTAATCATACGTGTTTACAGAATATAATTTTAATATAATTTTTAAAAATTTGAAAATGAAGGAAGAAATAAACCTATAGGAAGATGAGCCGTTTTATTATTTTAAATAATCCCTTTTATTTTTTTCCATGATTGTGTCAACATCTGTTATCAACCTAATCCTGGCTAGGCACATGGAATGTTGTATCTGTGTACTGCTTGTACTTTGCAAGGTGTTTGTAAATCTATAGTTTATGAGAGCTTTATAGATAGTCTAATTTGTTGTTTCTTTGGTGGTAATCCTTAAAACACAAGCCCAAGTGATTTGCCCAGTGTCATTCAGCACCTCAGTAACAGAGCTAGGACTTGTGCTCATCTATGTTCTAGTCCCTCAGACTAGCATGGTTCTAAGGAGGCGAGAGTTCCCTCCATGCGATAATGAGGTGATCATAACCATCAGCATACCGTGAAAGACTTCAGTACCAAAATATTTGAGAGCCAAAAAAAATTGTGTTCCACAAATATTGGAAGTGTTTATTATAGAATTGAAATGCATTTGAGATAAGGTGTTAACATTAGTTCATTTTTAAGAGAAGCCCCCGCCTGGTACCAGTTGTTTTTTCCTGAGATACCATGACTTCTCACACAGCCAGTTCTCAAGTTCAGCTGCTCCAATGTGTAAGTTTTGATTGACATGTTAAACAGTCTTCAAGGTTGTTATTTTTGGTAGTATTATTTAAAAGTGCCTAAATAAATTAAGTCTAACCAGTGACTTAGGACTTGTATACATTATTTACAGTGGAAAAAATGTTTACAATATGGATGGCATATTTATTTATGCAACTAAGAAATTGCAAACCTGAATAAGTAACAAGGTGTTATTTTTGTGACCTGTATAATCCAGTTATATGATGTTAATAAATACAGGAGTTATAAGTTGGAAAAGATCATAGGTGACCCAAAGCACCTAAAATATGTATGAAGATAAATTGTTCCCTGATGGAAAAAGCAAGCCATTTTACTGATGGACAGTAGTAGATAAGCTGAAAAGACAAAGAATATAACTTACTGGTCTTGCCTTAATTTACTGGGTAAACAGAACAACTTAAAATTTTGTATCAGTATACCTCAGACGTAATTGTGAGCTTGGCTCTAGACCACTGCAATAAAGCAGGTCAAGTAATTTTTTTTTTTTAAGTTTCCATTGCATACAAAAGTTCTGATTCACCTATGTGGTCTAGAATAACAAGAGCATTGTCTTACAACACCTGTCTCAATTTAAAATGTTGCTAAAACCAGCAAGCCATCTCAGCCTGCTTTCTGCTGATGGAGGGAATCCTCCATTGTTGATGACTTCTGGCTGATCAGGGTGGTAAATAGCTCAAGGTTGAGGTGGTTTGGTACAAGAGGCCTAGTTTTGGCCTCTGGCTTTCTACGTGCTTTTCTCATTGAGCTTAATCTTTTCTAGGTTCTGATTTAAAGTGAAAAACCTGAACTCTTCCTGAACACTCAGTGGTGGTGTAGTGTTCATCGTTTCAATATTGTTCCCTCGAATTAGGGATGCCCTCCATGAGGGAGGGAGAGTGAAGAAAGGCAAGTCAGGACGTGCACAACATTTATGAATTAAGTTCACTGTCTTACATGGGCACAGTTCTGAATTTCCCAAAATAGTTACAATAATAACATTAAAAGTCACTAATCACATATCACCATAACAGTAATACTAATGATAAAGTTTAACCTATTTACACATTTAACAAACATGTGAAACAGGATGTGGTAACATGCTGTTTGGAAAATTTCACCAATATCCTTGTTGCCACAAACTGTTTAAAAAAAAAATTGGAAAGGGTGTAGAGTGCAGTAAATGAGGTTTTCCCGTATTATTTAAACATTATTGCTAGCATTTTACCAGTTTGAATTTATTTATAAGGAAATGAAAGCTTTTTCCAAACAAACCTGACTCATCAGTCTGTTTCTTTCTAAACTAGAGCAGTGTGAGTGGGTTTGAGATCAGTATTTGTTCTTCATGCCTATATCCAGTTAAATGGGAAGAAGCAAAAAAAAAAAAAAAAGTATGTGCCAAAATTTTATTTATAATCACTGCTTAGCCAGAAATCCCTGTTTGTTTTACGGACAAGTATGATCTTCACAGAGAAGCTCCCCATTTGGGGAGTGAACCAACGAAAGGAAGACCTTTCTCTGTCTCTTGCTCACTGTAACTGCCTCTCAAATAAAATCTTTTAAAAAAAGGATTATTCAGTAATATTAATAATTATTATCAAGCTTAATTATAATTTATGGGGTTTAGAATTGCTTTACAGCATGGAATTGAGTGTTAATACCGTTGGGTCACCCCCCAATGGCTGCCATGGCAGGTGCGCTGCAGCTGGCGTACTGCACCCATCCGGAGCCAGGTGCTTCTCCTGGTCTCCCATGGGGTGCAGGGCCCAAGCACTTGGGCCATCCTCCATTGCACTCCCTGGCCACAGCAGAGAGCTGGCCTGGAAGAGGGGCAACCGGGACAGAATCCGGCGCCCTGACTGGGACTAGAACCCGGTGTGCCGGCGCTGCAGGCAGAGGATCATCCTAGTGAGCCGCGGCGCCGGCCCATAGTTACCTTTAACAAAGAGAGGAGAGAAAAAGTACAGAAACTAAATACAAAATGTATTTACACTTTTCCCTGGGACAGAGACCCAAATCTGAACATACATAAAACATGTTCTCATCAATGTCCAAGTAGCTCAGTCCTTCCTTGTGGATATACATTTTGCATCTTGATCAAGAACATTACATCCTTTTGTTCCTACTGTGGATTGTGTTTAGTCTGGACTCTTGGTGACAAGCTACAAATTGTGTATGAACATAGTAAAGGACTCAAATGTAGGTTGGCCCTCAGGGATCTTGGTAAAGTGACTATGGGGTGATAGAGTTCTTTTTTTCTTAAGCCAATTAGTTGCCGAGAAGTTTGTGGCAGTCCTGGAGTATCCCAGAGCAGATCAGTCTCAAAGTTCCGGAATGTCACTTGACCAAGATCAGCTGCAGAGACAGCTGTTTCTGGTAGTCCTGGAGGTTAAGCATCTCAACCATGATTTGTACTTCCCTTTTACCCTCTTATTAAGTTTTGCTCTTTGCTCCCTTTTATTACTGGTTTCCAGCCTGGCTCTGTCTGAAGTTGGCTCCTGAGTGAAGCCAGTTGATTTGACAACATAAAATATATTGCTTTTAAATATGTTTAGGACAAGCATATATTCAAGTACCCCCTCAAACCAGGTTTAGCCGCAACTGATTTACTGCCAAGACTACAGTGATTAAACTGGCAATTCTCAAATCTTGAAGAAAGGACTAGTAAGCAATTTGGAGTTGAAAAGCTGCCTATTTTTTCTTTAAGTGACAGATAAAGCCTTGCTTTGACCCAATGATTATATAGGTGTTAGGTGCACAGAGTTGGAGGTGAAAGATGCATAATTACTCATCATTTGGAGATATTTTAAGAGCAGGGGGCAAAAATATGTCACTTCCAAAAAGCACTTTGCTGGCCTTTGAGATATTCAACAACTTGTCATTCAAATGTAAATGACGTCTAGAGAAATAGCCAAAGGGGCAAATGTTAAATGCAACAACGCCACTAAAAATCACTGCTTAGTTCTGTGGCTGAACTCTCATAAGCTTCTGGAATTGGTGTATGGGATCTAAGGGCCCCCAAGTTCCCAGCCCCCTGGTGTACACACCTACCTATTCTCCAAACATCATTATGGGTGCTGCTGTCAGGGGATTTCACAGATGTAACTGAACAGCCACATTCATTGAATTAAAATAAAGAGTCTATCCAGATGCATGAATTGCATGAGCCCATCAAATTTTGTTCTGGAGGTCAGAGACGGAAGTCAAAAGGTCAGAAACTTGAGAAGGATCCCGTGTTCTGGAAGTTCTTTCCTGGCCTGGAAGAAAGCACACATCCATGTTGTGAGCTGCCTAAAGCAGGCAGAGGGCAAGAAAGTGCAGTCTGAAGTTGCTGAGAGCATTCCCCAACAGACAGGTAGAAGGGAAATGGGGACCTCAATTCCATGTTCAAGGAAGTGAACTGCTGACAACCTGTGATCCTAGATGAGGAGAACCAAGAACTACAGCCACAGCCCACACCTTGATTCAGCCCAGTGAGGCCCTCAGAATATTCAGCTGTACTGAGAAACTGAGATGTAAGTTTTCATTGTTATAAATTGCTGAGTTTGTGGTAATTTGTTATACAGTAATAGAAAATGAATATAAAGAATCTTAAGTGCTCTGTGATATCACAGTAAGCACCGTGCCAAGCCAAATACACATCCCCAGTCTTAGCATTCAAAGAGTAGTAAAAGGAAGCCATCAGTTTAAATAGCGTTTGTTTTTAACAGTCTCTTGGACAGTTTCAATAGAATTTGCTTTAAATTTCAATAGAATTTTTTTTAAATTGTAGTTTCTAATGTATTTATTTATATTTATTTGAAAGGCAGAAAGAAACAGAGCCTCTAGCTGCTCCCCAAATGCTGTCAGCAGTCCTGTCTGGCCCAGGCCAAGTCAGGAGCTTCAGGAAAATCAATTCTGATCTCCCTCTTTGGTGGTAGGGACCAAAATGCTTGAGCTATCACCTCTTGCCTCCCAAGGTACACATTGGCAGGAAGTGCAATCAGAAGCAGAGCCAAGACTTGGTATTGGATACAAGCATCTTAACCTGTGTACCAAATGTCCATCCCTGAACATATTCTGTTTTCTAACACAGTCATTCCACTACTAAATAATATATTTAAAAAAACCTTGTATTATCTCAAAAACCTCCATTTGTATTTAATGTGACTGAGAAATAAAAATCTACTTCATTGGAAAACAAAAAAAGTACGACACCATTTTTATGCTGAATGTTTACATTGATTTTTTAATTTAATCTTCTCAAAGTGCCTTACCTAAATTATTTTATTTAATACTTTCAGCAACCTTGTTTTACAGAAGAGACAATGGAGGCATTGAGGAGTTAAGAATTTACCTTACCCATCAAAGGTTTCCAGTGATGAGCAAGTAGTGGTTTGGCTAACAGCACTAACTGGGAATGTACATTACTACAGTTGTTTCCTTAGCATTCATTCTCTACATATCCAGGTATCAAAATTAGAAATTTTGAATTCTGACTTTCACTTTTTCCTTGGTTGTCCCTTTGTTTAATAAGTTTCATGGATTACTTGGTTTCTTCTTTATAATGTGGTTATACCTCTCGTTGCTCTGATAGCAACTTAAATATTAGTCCAGGACAAGAAATGCCTCTCATCTCCCTGAGCTCATACCCTTTCGTGACTTCATCCCAATCCACATGCTGACCTTAGCCCACTTTCCTGACCCTTAGACTGTATTTCCCACTCACAGAAGGGCATCTGCACCTGTCACAAGGCACCAGAGCATCAGCACGTCCTAAAGGCACCTGTAATCGCCGAACTATTTCTCCTCCTCTGTTTCCTGTCTCTGTTAGTATTTCCATCTGATTAGCTTGCCAAGCCAGAAATTATGGATGATCTATCTCCCTCCTTCTTCTCTGCTGATCTGTTAACAAGTTCTGGTTATTTTAACCCCTTAATTCTCTTTTCTGTCCATTACCATTGCTGTTGTTTTGGGTCAGGTATAATCTTTCTCATGTAGATTACTATAATTGATTATTAATTTTTCCTTGTGCCCAAGAAACCCGTCTCATCTAACCTTCACTGTAGTTGGAATTACCTTGAAACATGCTCCTGCTTCAAAACCCTG